TGATTATTTTTTTCTTCTTTTTTTACAATTTAAAAACTAAAACTATAATATGTTTATTAATTTTAATATAAAATTAAGAAAATAATGAAAATGACTAAAATAACCCTCATTCAACCAGACTTAACAAAAAGGTTAGCGACCGTTAGACAAATTAATCAAGACTGTTAGGAATTGTCGGTAGGAACCAAATATGAGTTCATAGAGTCTAAGAACTATATCGATTGATAATTCTTAACGTCAAGATCAAAAGTAAACTTTACTTTTGGTTATAAATTTTTAAACTGCTACTGCATTAAAATATAATTAAATAATTATCTCACACGTTTAATTTGTTTTTTAGTTCAACTTTTAAAACGTTTTGTAAATAGTATCAAATCTACTATTTTATGTCCGTGATGTTACATCAAAAAATAATGTTTTTTTTAATTTTTTTCTTTGTGAAATTATTTAAGTTTCATAATTATATTAAAAAGGTACTATTTACTTGTCACATTGATTATGACATAATAATTAATAATTAGACACGTGTTTATTCATAATATACTTAAAAATGTTGTTTTTTTAAGAATACATATTGTCATGTAATTGTTAGGGTGAGATGTAGATACAATCGATATATGTATTTTTTGTAATTAATGTTGATTTTTAATTTTAAGATGTTTTTTGCAAATTGCATCAGAGTTTTGGTCCCTAAAAAATGTAATCCGTTGGACTTACGCAACTTTTAAAGATACTGATTTGGATTTATCTATTTTCTGGTCTAACCCTCGAGTGAAAGATTGTAAGATGTTGGTTAGAAATGTGACGGTAAATACTTTTTTTAAGTCTCGTGTTATGAAAATAAAATATTTCTTAAGTTAATTTATTACTTATATTTGTGATGTTAAGATATCGTGTTTTTTAATGTTTATTTCTCTTGAAATTGTTAAAGTTTGAGGATTATATTTAAGAAAAATTTCAAAAAAAAACACGACATTTTTTTTCTTCATTTTGAATGGTTTAGTCCATAAACTATTTTTTTATTAAAAAAACCCATTAAACTTTCTCATTTTACATGATTAAGTTTTTGAACAACTTTTTTGAATGAAAAAATAATCAAGACCCTGAATTTTTTGAAAAAAATAAATAAACCATCAGACTTTTACTAGTCGGTTAATGTAACATTTTTTGAGTTAAAATGATGCATGTAACCAATTTTTAAAAATACGATGATTTATTTATTTCAGAAATATTCATGGATTTAATCAATCAAATTGAAAAATTCCAGTGGTTTTCTCATTTAAAAAAGGAAGGTTTAATAATTTTTTAATCCAAAATAATAACTTAATCATTTAAAATAAAAAAATTAAATGGTTTTTTCTTTTAAAAAGACAATTTAAAGACAAAACCATTAACAATGGAAAAGTTTGTTAGATTTTCTTAAATGTATTTAAAAAGATTTTGTTGTTAACCACAAGGTGGTGTATGATTGGTTTGAGTTTGGCTCCAAATATCAAAAGTATCAGGAGGTTCTAAGTTCAAATCCAAGGAGGAATAAAAATCCCTTTGTAACCATGGAAGTTTAAATGCGGTGACTCCGAGCTATCTGCAAAGCAGGTGGTCGTTCTCTAAGATTAGTCGGCTCATATAGTTAGTTAGATATCCAGGTTAATAAAAAAAATTCTATTGTTATGTTGGATAGATCATCACACATAAAAAAATAACAATTAGACACGTGTGTTTGTTCATATTACTTTAAGCATTTTGTTTTTTTGTAATGGATGATTGAGTAAATCAATTAATGCCTAGTACAATATGGAAAAGGCCAAGGTATCATGTTGGGTGGCCACTATATGTACAGGATGCTTAAAAATCCGACTGATTCGATCAATCTAACCGAAATAATTTATTATAAAGTAATTCGATATCTACTCGAGTTATAAAAATTTTAAACCGTAGATATTAGGGCATCTCCAATGGATGACATTCTACCAGAGTGTCATGGACTGCCACAGCAGCATTCCACTCACCATACAACTCTATCATTTTATACCCACACTCCATAACACTCCAATGAGTTTAATGGATTTCCACACCATATATATATATATATATATATATATATATATATTATCTATAAATATAATTTTATCTGAACTACGTGATTCATCGGTGCATCACTCACTTCGACATGATTTAACGGAGCATATTTGGRAACATTATTCACAAGCATGAAATTAAATCTAAATGTAGTTTATGTAATGTATTTTAAAATTAATATAATATCT